CTAGCCATTCCATATATCTAGATACACGCACAAAGTCTTGGGCAAAAGAATTAAAGAAACTCAAAGTCGACTTAAAATTGAAACCGCATTATGCTTTTTGGTTTTTGCCAGAACACTTACACCACCTTTGCTGGAGAAACCTATATGTTAATCAAGGGAGTATCAATGGCTTCCCCGATCTCCCATTTAATAGAAATGCTGTTCCTACAGGAGGTAGAAAATGTAGTTTTCATCCATATACGAACCTGAATTTTGGTTTCGTTATACTGAGAAAATGTGTGTTCTCGCCAAGGAACAATGTGTTATAAAACTCCCATAACCTGCTCAACGGAATCTTCCCTGAATCTTCCAAAATAAAACTCTAAACTATCCTCATCTTGTCTTTTAGTAGACAAGTCGGCAGACGCTCCCTTATTCTCTTGCATGCATTTATGTTCTTCCGGTCGGTGTTTCGTACGCCACACCAAAAACTAAATCCAAACACACGCATTAAAGTGACTTGAAACAGCCCTTTTTGTTCGCCTCAGATAAAAAGTGCTCTAGAGATTGTGGACAACACCCTCACTAGACAGCTTATTTTCTCGGGAAGAAATCAGGAGTTACTCAATAAATTAAGCACTCCTTTAATGTGGCGTATGCAGGCTAATAAATTCTCCATTTTTTTTCTGTGGATTTCATTCTATGTCTGCAGAGCATAAACGCTTGGAGGCACTATTCTCATTTTCCCAGTTTTTTGTAAGTGTGTTCGAATCAAATTTTATTTCATGCTCGCGAATGGAAATGGGATTTAAGGGCTCTTTTAACTTAGGGATGCGAAAAGCTGAAATAGATGTTTGTCTGTCAGTCCTGATTGTCGGGATTCGCTTCTGCTTATTGATTAATTTGTTGCTATGCGTGTATGCAAAAATATATATTTATTATTTGGAAGCGATCACAGATACCATTACGGGATAGACTGATCCCTTATGTCTTGAGGTTCCATCTAGGAGCCTGCTAACAACTTTACAGCGGCTAGTAATGTACGCAGAGAATATTACGGAAAGAGACATGGGAGATAGTAGTGACCATTACTGCATCACAGGTTCGAGCCTCAACAGTTGTAACGCCACGTGTTGGGTATCGGTAGCTGATGAAGACTGACAGTCTCCCCTGTCAGCGATTTCATTCCGCATGATAATTTATTTGCTTAATCAGTGTGCTCAGGCATAGAGATCAATGCTTCCGGCGGCTAAAACAATTCCGTTTCGGCTTTTGATAAGGCGAAGATTCTATCAACTTGGCAAGCATAGTATTTCAGGGCGTTTCCGCTTTGCCTCGCAGCAGCAAATGGGTGTCAGCCCAAACAGGCGCAGTAGCCTGGTGACTAGGGTTTCTTTTCATTTAAGAGAACCGTTAATTCACAACCTTACCTGTTTTGGGTCTGCTGTGCGTGTCCAAATTTTTCGACAGGCTTCATAGTTGTTCAGTAGGTCCACATTTGTTCTCTTTCACAACTGCATACTTTAATAATGCGAGAAGGAGAAACCAGCGTGTTTTACTGCCGTTTTAACTTTTATTACCTGGGCAACCGTCCGGTTCTACCGATGTCTGCATACCTCTTGAGATTTTGCTTTCAGCATAAATTCTAAAAATACGTTTACAACCAGATACCCTTTCAGAAGTGCAGCTGGTACATCGTTAAGAGCAGAGCCGCTGTCAACTCGGTTTGCAAACGTCCCCAACCCACTAGGTGGAAAGGAAATGTGAGGGTTTCATACGAAATCAGCAGAGTACCCTCAAATAAATAGTCTTCATAACTGCTGAACTGACCCGTAACTCGACGTTCTTTTCATAGAGGGCATTCCGAGTGGTCCACACGGACTGAGTTTGAGTCCAGGCTGTCGCCAGCTTCTGAGAGTTCTGATTGATTACGATCTTTGCAGAGGGGACTTTTTCTGTCAGCTCGTACGCAGATCTGAAAGGGGAAATAACGTGCAAAATTAAGGCTGCATTTTCCTACAGACACGATAAACACAGGCTCGTAGTGCTCACGAAGTTGCTTAAAACCTAGTATTCTGTCAGTAGACACCGTGACTACAACACTACTGGTGCATATAGTTTTTTTT